TACTTCCAAGTGGTGTGTACAAGTGTGTTAATACATGCAATATCCACTCCATACACCGTCTATAGCCACACCCCTGAATTGTGACAATATTTATATAAAATCCAAAATACATAAAAATTAAAAAGTATACTTTTAACTGCTCCTTTGTAAAGGAATAAAACTTGGTCCCTCACATTAGATGAAGAATTTAGGCTGAGGGTGTCTGAGAACAGGGTGTTCAGGAGAGTATTTGGACAAAGAGAAATAAGTGAAATACAAGACTTGATAAATTTCATAATATGGCATTCATAATTTATGCTCCTTCCATCTACCTGGATGATAAAATTAAGGAGGGTAAGGTGAATACGCATGTAAACTATGGCTGATGAGAAATTCATGCACAATTTCGGTAACAAAACCTAGGGACGACACCATTTTGAATATGTAGACATTGATACAGTGACAATATTAAAAACAGGATTTAAAGAATAGCACATGAGGATGTGGCTTGGATTCATCTGGCCCTGGATAGGTTCCTGTGTCAGTCTTCCAGGATCCACAGAAACTCACTTTCAGACACCATAAAAGGCGGGAATTTCATAACTAGCTAAGCTCATATTCACTTTTCAAGAAGAACAAAGCACCATGGAGACTGAAAATTAGTTAGTTAAAGAATGAGCAAGTGGAACATGATGGTTAGTCGCTGACTTCCCATCGCGGCGGCCCGAGTTCGATCCCAGGTCTGGTCAAGTGGGATCTGTGGTGGACAAAGTGGCGCTGGGGCAGGTTTTCTCTGAGTACTTCGGTTTCCCCGCCAATCTTCATTCCACCAACTGCTCCACAATCAACCTCACCTATCATCTGGGGCCAGAAGTGGCCGCAGTACAAGGGACTTAGTCCCATCCCACCCCAATAGCAATAAAAAAAAAAGTGGAACATCAATACAGGTTGTAAAACTTCAAAATATCTGCTCTTATACGTACAACACAATGTTTACTGCCCAGATAGCAGCAACAGCTTGACATTCCAAAGCATGCTTCTCCTGAACAAGATCTAACATGGGGCAGGCTTACATACAGGGATTTTGTCCCTGTGTGTAAAACACGTGAATCTCAGAAGAGCACAGCTCCACAGACAGGAAAAGCCAGGCCCCAACACAGCATATTTATTACATGACTATGGAGTCAACCCCTGCAGGGGGGGGGTCATGGTGTACTGGTTAACAGTCTATAGGTCCCTGGCTAAAACCTACATCCAGAGACTGACTAATGTCATGACTTTCCACACTCCCTTTGGGAAAGATCTAAAACATAACTTAAAATATGTATGTCACAATACCTCCTTCTTGACTCATCACTAACTATTATTTTGCCATTTAATGGTATAAAATCTCTGGTTTAAAAAGTTTCTATGAAACCTGTTTAGAAGTACATGTTGTCACACACAATTATTTCATGCCAAGAAATTTTACACCAAATAGTTCAGAGACAAGAGTTTAAATTCTGTCATTTCCATGATCCGAAATGTTTAGAAAACAATATTCGGATAGAATGTGAGAGAGGTTTTCAGCATTACCACATACCTGTCCCATCAGGAGACAATTAACAGTCTCAGTGTAATCTGACATTTTGTGACTGATACATAAAGAAACTATTTGATGCAGAAAGATCAGTAGGTTATTCAAGGGCATTGTACCAGTTACAAAAATAATTCAATGTCAAATAAAATATTGGAATCATTATGCATGATAAAATATACGTGTAAATAATTTGGAAGAAATTGGTCATGGCCTATTTTATGGCAACCATCTCAATGTTCATGCAGGAACATGAAATGAAACCCATAGCCATCCAAAAGAGATTCAAATCAGATAATTACAAAGCCTTATATCAGAAAAATACCATGTCATTCCACTTCTGCTAATAATACTCAAAATTCAGCAGTTATGCCATCTGCAAGTTAAATGATTCTCAAACAAATTGCAACAATAGCTGATTCATTACAACACAGTTATGTTGAATATTGCCCATTGTTTGAGTGTACTTAATTCCCAGGAGATTAGAGAATTCTTCTCTTCTCTTCGGGTCATTGTGTTTTTACATTATCTATTACTCTAAAGAATTTTACTTGTCCTGGATCATGTATAATGATCCATGGATATGAAGTAAATAAATGAATATTCTTCTAGAGCACTGCTTTCATTTTTGATACCAGTGACATACATAGCAATGAAACCTTTTGACCATTAAACTTCTGTACTAATTGCAATTTGGTATTCCATAGCTTCCGAGTTCAAGCTCAACCAGTGTCACCAAAATCATGTGTATCTGCCAACATAATGACCAGAACACTGAGTACAATAAACCTCAAAGGACAATGTCAAACATAAATACAGTGCAAATTGTAGTGCTAGTCCCCCATGAATATAAATGGCATTGGAATTCTCTGAAATGATATGGTCTACCAGCATGGATAAACCTGGAAAACCCAAACAGAAACTGTAACTAAAATAACTTTCATAACTTTCAGAAAATGAGGTCCAGATATTTTTCCAAGCTTCACAGACACTGGAATGTGCGCATAAAATCAGAAGGTGAGAGCTACAGAAGTGACCATAAGTTTAGGGGCAATATGCTTTTCACAGAATCAGGCAAGTTAAACAACTGTCAGACATCACATACTGAAGCAAAGAAATTTTTATTTGTGTTCATGAGACTGAGCTGGTTGGCAAAGCAACAGTGTGCCTGGCTCAGATTCAGAATGAAACAGGTCTGAAACATGGAAATGGACTGGCAAAACTCCAAGAAAACTGCCAGAATAGCACGAATCCCAGCCAAGATATGAAATGGGCACCTCTTGAATACAGGTGTAAAGTGTTACCAAAGCAGCACCCAGATCAGTAACAACATTCTCATCTAATTTCCTGAATATGAAACAGTAGAAGGAGCCACTACAACACAGTGCTCTGTTTTCTTTATCAGTTTCGAGAAGAACTCTGCAAGTCACAAAGCAGTGCAAGATCATATACATGGAATCACTAAGACATCTTGACAACTCTAGGAAGAGAAATGTGAGATGAATTACATTAGTCACTGCATGAATTCAATTTGATTATAAGAAACCTTATTCCTCTACCATCTCAAGGGCTGAACTGCTAATCTCCAGGAGACTATCGAAACATGAGACCATGATGGTAACACACGTGTAATGGGAGACTTCACTGGTTGTTCCAGCACACAACATAACACAATCTCAAGTTTCTATAACACAGGTGTCATTATGCACACATTTCAAAATCTATTCTATTACATTTCAATTTGATAAGAACAACTGACAGATCCTAAGACACAGCTGAATGTTGTATCATCACAAAAGTGCATGAACAGTAAAACAGATCTGCCTCGTAGATAACAAATGGGTGTTTGCTGTATATTTCGGAGAAATAGTGTGGATGAAAAAGGTAAAATCAAACATGGCAGTGATGTTGATTCATGTCTCTAAAAGGTATGAGGTACTTTAAATTAAGTAACAGCCAATCCCTCAGATCGTGCTTACTAAGGCCCACATATGCTTAGGCTGCTAAAATTAAACATATTATATGGAAGCCAACAGTAAACAATTTCCACACAGAAATGGATTGTGAAATAAGTTACTTATTCTCCAATAGAATTTCACACTGTGGCCACTACACTGTCTTAGCAAATCCATTTCACCATACATGCAACTCCAATCCCCAAGAAAGCGAATAATTCAGGTATCTGTAACTACTTTTAAGTTATCAGATTATACCATAAGCAAAGCTGCCATGTAAATGTACAACAAGTAAATTATAAGGCCACTGGAAAATGGTATGATCCACAGCAGAGAAGATTTTACATAAAATCACCTATAAACATACTTGTAACAGGAAAGCTTTCATTTGAACCATGCAGCCAGTTACTGCAAAGATACATCTGACATCTCTCAGTCTCTTATCCTGTGAAACCACTTTTAGACAACATGTGGTATCATTATATAAATATGTGCATACAGAAGAGCCTTCATTTTTCCCTACAGAGACAATGACAAGACAGTGTTTGATATGCATGCAAGAGTAGTTAAAGTTTCCACAAAAATAAACAACTCAGNGTCGGCCAAAACGAAGAATACACAGTGCCTAAACCCAGAAGACGACTTTCTTCAACTCAGCTTAAAATGAAAATTATTTATTCTCCTACTATTCCTTCACTGCATGCAGTAGCGTAGTTGGTTGAAGCAATATCCTACAAGCCAGAAGGTCGCGAGTTTGATTCAATGAGGTAATTGGATGTTTCAGTTGACCTAATCCTTCCAGCCGCACTATGGCCCTGGGGTCGACTCAGCCTCTAACAGAAATCACTACCAGGAATTAATTAAATAATTTTCCTGGGGAGTAAAGCGCGGCTGGCACATAAGGCTGACAACCTTACCACCATCTTCGAGCCGATTGTCTAGATAATGTGGGACCCTCAACATCTCACAACCCTATGGGCCTTCACGGCCTCTTACAGAGACAGCTTTACTTTACATTTTTACTATTCCTTCACTTTCAGGGAAATATTCGAACACAGTACAAAAGAAAGTGCTAATAGAAAGCCCCCTTTCAATCCCCCCACCCCCCTCTCTCTCACACACAAATACATACATACATACCAAGCTCAGCGATTGCCACTGAGAATCAGAAGCACAATTGTCAGATATCAGTAACAGAAGTGTTCTAATCTTTAGTCTTCACTCTGTATTATATTCAGGCAAGAGGATGTTGGGAGAATGAAATGCCCACTAACAGGCGCCTCACAACCACATTTCCCATATCATTTTTACATCCTAATATAAAACGGACAGTACTGTACACGACAATATTCATAACAACAGTTGCAGCAGTCTGTTACTGTTCAATTACACACACATGCAAGAACATATTCTACATCAAACATTCTCACATTTCTGCAGCTCTTATGTCATCCAAAAGTTTGTGTAACAAAGTGAAGAGCTGTACTCACCTGAGTTGGGCTGTCCACCGCTGTTCGGGCGTGCAGATGGGGATCCATCCCGTGCCTCCACTTCGAGAGCATAAGCACCTTGCTTCTCACGATCAAACACAATCTTGGTGAACACTTCACCTGACTGCAAGTTGATCTCAAAGTAGTCTTTGCCCTCATTTCGGGGCGAGTCTACTACGTAGTAGTACACCTATGAACACAACAATGTTAAAAATGATTTGGCAGGCATATGTCATTGTTATAGGTCTCACATACATTAGAGAACTGTATCACACTCAAAATATACTCGTATATATAGAAAAGGTTGAAGTTCATGGAGGTAGGCCTAGGCCCACTGGGGCTGTAGTGCCAATGAAAAAAAAAATATAGAAAGGTTAAAGTTCTCGAGGAACTGAACAACTGCACTAGATGAAGGTTTACTGTTATGGATCAGTACCTTAATATAGTAGGCCATGAAGACTTCCTTTCATGTCCATTAACATTCACAATTTTTTGTCTATACAACACTACACAAGCTATACAGGTGAGAATATACTGTTAAACAAGCTAGGAAGGAGACACCTCAGTGTGGAAGTATATGTATATTTGAAAATCCATTGAAGCATTTATGAGGTCCTACCCAAAGGTTCTCAAAATTTGTCTGCCTAACCTTCGCCATTTATCGGAATTTTTATTCACCTCCATCTCCTTCAAAGTAGCCTCCTTCTGCATTAATACATCGATTCCAGCCGGATTTCCATGATCAGCACTGCTGGAAGTCACTTTGCATCAGCACCTTCATTACACACTGCAATTCGGCTTGGATCTCTTCGATGTTCTCAAAACGTTGTCCCCTGAGCTTCAATTTCATTTTCGAAAATAAGGAAACATCACAGAGGGCGAGGTCTGGTGAGTAGGGAGGGTGGGGATGAAGGTCGTTTTCCTTGAAGTCAAAAGCTGTCGGTCAAGAAGTAACGTCTGAGTTGGCACGTTGTCATGGTGTAGAGGCCAGAAATTGTTGCGCCACTTGACTGATCGTTGGCGTCAAACGTTTTCCCTCTACTGCCTCAGAATATCGCAACAGAAGTTTCCATTCATGCTCTGCCCTGGTGGAGAAAATTCCTTACACACGATGAGTTCAGTGTTAAAAAAAAGTCGACGCTAATTTGACACTGTTTCAAACTTGTGTTTACTTGGGTCGCGGTGAATTTAACGTTTTCCACTGGGATTCTTCCTGCTTCGTCCCAGGGTCGTATCCGTAAAACTAAGACTCAACCCTAGTAATGATGGTGGCAATGAAGTTGGGGTCGTCTTCAGTCTGTTCCTAAAGCTCAGGACAGACGACAACGCTGTGTTCCTTTTTGGACATTGCTCGGTAGCCGGGGCACAAATTTCGCTGCAATGTGGCGCATGTTAAGCTCTTGCGATAAAATTCACTGATACGTTCCACATGACAGTTTGACAATATCACATACATCGCGAATCGTTCGCCTTCAGTCTTCCAGGATAGCCTCTCGCACTTTAGCCACATTTTCGGTCATGATTCACTAAATGCTTCTTTAAGCATTTTGTATGCGTCCGCTACCGTCTTACCGAGTTTTAAACACAATTTGATGCAAATTCGTTGTTTCTTCACATCAGCCATTTTAACAAGTCGGTACGATCGCAAAACAGCGGTAAAACAACGTTATAACGCACACAAAAATTAACGCAACTGCGCAACTCGATGCCACGTGTCAGACTGGTTCACAAACGATACAGCTTACGACACCTAGCGGCTGATAATCGTACTATGTGCGATTCGCAAGCAATGATCAAATTTCGGAAACTTTTGCGTACACCTCCAACAGCAGTAACTTCAACTTATCATAGCAGCAGCATGCTTCACCTTCTTGAACAATTAGCTTAACGTTAAATCCCGCTCACGGTACATATGTACCTAACTAACTCTTATCAGGCACAGTTCGTCCTGAGAAGGTGATATTTACTCAGCCAGCCGCAACACTTCACACATTTTATGGAACCCAAAAGACCATTTATTGTTGTCAGAAGAGACTGTCATAGGTTTCTGTCCTGGGCCATTTAATTCAATCTACATTCTGCTTCTTTCATACACATTTAACTCTCAACTTCGTCTAGGTCTCTTCAGTCGTTTCTTTCCTGTAGGTTTAATGGTAAAAAAAAGTTGCCCCATGTGCTTAACTATTGAAGCACTACGCCACGAAGGCGTGGGAGTGGGGAGTGGATGTATAGCTCCTGTGGGTTACTAAGGAAAATTTTATGCGAACATGACATCAATCCAACGTGTTGTTACATGTTCCACCGATCTCGCCCTCCTCGTTTTGATCACCCTAATAGTATCTGGCGAGAAGAGCATATTATGACGTTTCTCACTCAATTCTTTCTGGCCTCCCGCTGCTTCCTCCTTCTTCGGTCCAAATATCCTCCTCAGCACCCCGTTCTCCGGCACCTTCAAGCTATATTCTTCGCTTAGAGTTAGAGCTCAAGTTTCAGACCGACAGAAATCAGTTTGTGACGCTGGTACATTAGAACAAATATTATGTTTCTCGACATTATCCATTGCCCTGTCTTTATCTGAAAACTGTCCTGTTTATTTTTCAAAACACGTTTTAGAGACTGGATTCGCTCTCCGTCTTCAGGTAAAACCTACTCAGCTGGGCCCAATCGATTGAGCTAGTCCTTATCTCCGGACCTGTGTCAACTTCAAGATGGGGTATACAAGCCAAACGCAGCAAAAACCATCTGAGAGAGCTAAGAAAACCTTAAATTATTAAAACTCCACACGTATGAGGCCTTGCACCAGAGAAGTACCTACCACCTGGCGCTACAGCCCTGGGTGAGCCCTGGCCTCCTCTCAACACGACATACAGGAAATACTGTTTCAACCGCAGAGGCCATATGACATCAAATGAGACAAGATGATCAATCATAAATAATTACGGATCTGGAAGATGGCTACAATATAAGACATCCCATCATTTGTCAGAAACACTGAACACTGAGTAAAGAACCTATGTCAGCACAGCCAATAACACAGTCGAGATTAGAATTCGGGACATATGGAAAATGAATACTCCGTGTTATGGCGTGTTACCGTTAGACCCTCATTCTCGCTGCTGCGAACTAGAATCATCGACAGTCGTTTCGAAAAAGTTCCCTCCTTTAGAGCAATTTGTTTCGGACAGGCCTAGTTTGAGAGGTTTCGATTCCGGTGGGAATCACTGAGGTTATGCCTAACAGTTTACAGCTACGTAGTAAAATATGGACATGTCAAGTTGTCTGTGTACTCAATTAAGTACGACGGCATGAAGATGTACGGGCAAGTGGACGCACGGCTCCACATATTCTTAAACCCGGCATTAGTTGGAAATGCGTAGTAAAATCTTACATGCGGAATTCATGCACACAAATACGCAGAGGAGTCTCATAATACAAACTGTCGTCTCTATATAGATGAAAGGGTTAAAGAGAGCAGGAGCCATTTAGTTTCTTCAGAAATTGTTTGCTCAGTCTGTGGACAAGTACGTAACTGTTTACAGACAAACAAGAAAATAGCAGACATAAAATCTGGTAAAATATCTGACAGTTCTCACGTGGATATCGAATTCGGATCAAGTGACAAACACCTAGTTTCAGATATCCCCGGTTGCTTGATATTCACAGTCATCGCAGCCCACTGGCCACGCGATATGTCACGCACAGAAAACAAGGAACAGGAGATATGGAGCCAGGAAAACATCATGAAGACTGTTTTCAGCCTGAACACAAACAGAATGCAAATGAGATTCAGTCTCACCCTGCTATAAAGTGTGTGTATGACACGCGGAACGTAATGCAGAGAGTTAGGAGATCGAGCATTCGTGGCACCCACATAGACATTCACAAACTTTAGGCATATTTCTCCTTCTGCTGTAAGGTTTTGAATTTACAGACAGTTCACGGTTCCAAATCCGCCATGATAAATAATGGAGCACCTTACAAGATTTAGCAATAAAAAAAAATTGGACCTACTGCAGCAGCCACGTAAGGCGCTGGTTCGCTTGAGCACTGAGCTCTCTCATGGTCTAATTCCGATCAAGGAAGGCATCTGTGTCGCGTTATACTGCCCTGTGTTATTGCAACGGGAGGATCCTTCGACCAACCAGTTCTACCAAACGTATAAACGGTGGTTTTAGAATTAATTCTGAATCGGAGAGGCCTGAGGGCCAAATCTGTGTAAAACCAAAAACAGGAAGATCTGGGAAGACTTAACCATCCACTTTTATTTTATACTACATGGGCTGTATAGGAAACGAAGTCTCCGGCAATTATTCGTTGCCGCGGGAACGTGTTTACCGAGCCATTGCCTTGCAAAGACCGAGGGATGCAGATCCATAGACTCTACTTTGATACGAAACAAACGGCATAGGAAACGACCCGCCCAAAACTTCTTCCTTGTTTCGTGTATCAGTTGCCGTGGGAACGTTTACATCGAGACTTGCCTTGCAACAATATGGGAATACGCGTACACACAGACTGGTAGGAGGGATTTGTGAAGTACGCAAGTGAGCTGAGCTCAGGTGCCAACAAACAAAGTTTCATAAAGAAGATATTCAAAAGCTGATGGGGTGGATACACAGACGCAGATAGGATGGAGATCGCATAAGCCTAGTTTTACTTTTCTTTCTTTCTTTCTTTTTTTCAAAATAAGGAAAGAAGGCTAAAAATAAAGACCAAGAAAGGATTTTAGGTTCTCACAGCGGTGGTTATGAAGGGATCTGTCATCTGCTATATAACGCCGTGTAATTGCTACCTGCGCCATGCCGGTTTCTTGCTTGACTAAGTCTTCGAACTTCGGATAGGTCCGATGACTTTCGACGGACTACACGGCATTATATTCCAAACGACAGAACTCTTCAAGACTAAGAATGATCCGATTAAGAAAGGCCGATAATTTTATCAAAAACTGACATTTGCAATGCTCTTCGCCAAAGTGAATGTGTTATGAGAAAATGGAACACTCGCGGAATCAGACACAGACGTAATGAGATGTACAGGCAACCATATCACAAGTAAGAATATCGATGGTGGTGGTGATGATAATGATGATGATCAGGAGGAGGTGGAGGAGGAGGAAGAGACGTTCCTTTTTTGTAACTCCATGTCTTACTAAGACTGTACGAAAACGATTAAAATATACAACAAAGTAAG